ACATAGACCAATGGAATAGAATTCAGAACCCAGAAGTAGCTCCATTGACCTATAGTCAGCTGATTTTTGACAAAGGGCTGAAATCCATAAAATGGAGAAGAGATTGTCCCTTTAATAAATGGTGATGCTAAAACTGGATATCTGTTTGCAGAAAAATGAAACAACATCCATACCTCACACCATACACAAAAAATAACTCCAGATAGATCAAAGACTTAAACATGAAACCTAAAACTATAAAGTCCTTCAAAGAAAAAATAGGGGCAAATTTAGGGGCCCTCATTTATGACATAAATGGACTGTCAAGCATAACCCAAAATTCACAAACAGCAGAAGATAAACTACATGAATATAACCTTCCAAAAATTAAGCCTTTATGTGTTTCCAAAGACTTCTCCAAAAGAGTCAAAAGAGAACCTATAGATTGGCAAAAAAAAAAATTCAGCAATGACATATCTGACAAGGGAGTTATCTCTAAAATATACAGAAAACTCTAGCACCTCAACACAAAAAGATTAACAATCCAGGTAAAAAATGGGGCATGAATAGACACTTCACCAAAGAGGATTCAGGCAGCCAACAAACACATGAAGAAATGTTCATGATCATTAGCCATTAGAGATGCAAATCAAAACAATAATGAGATACCATCTTGTCCCCGCACTAACAGCAAAGTTCAACAAGACAGAAAATAATAAATGCTGGCAAGGATATGGAGAGATTGGGACCCTCATACATTGCTGGTGGGACTATAAAATGATACAACCACTGTGGAAAACAGTATGGCAATTCCTTAAAAAGTTGGATTTAGAAATACCATTTGATCCAGCAGGCCCATTACTAGGTATATATCCTAAAGAAGTGATAGCCAGGACAAGAATAGATAGATGCACATCCATGTTCATTGCAGCACTGCTCACAGTAGTAGAAAGATGGAAACAACCTACATGCCCATCAAGAGAAGAATGGATAACCAAACTATGGTAAACACACACAATGGAATACTATGCAACACTAAAGAAAAATGTAAAATCTATAAAACACGGCACAACATGGATGAACTTGGAGGACATTATGCTGAGTGAAATAAGTCAATCACAGAAGGACAAATATTGTATTAGTTCATTATTGTAAAGTCAAGGAAAGGTTTATATATGGAAGGAAACTTTCTTTGTTGGTTACCAGGCGTTTGAGGGGAGGGGAGGGAACACTGCTAGATAGGTAGAGACAACTATTGATTTGGGTGAAGGGAAGGGCAATGTGCCAAATGTGAGTGATCAACACAGTGGCACCAAGGAAGAGGAAGACATAGAGAGAGGTATATGGGAGGTACAGACAACAAAGATGATCCCTTCTGCATGTAGAGTACTGTGTTATCAGTGATGGCAACATTGATCTACAGGTAGATAGAGGGGTGGACAGGCTGAACGATCAGGTATCTCTAGGCAGGGAGCAGTGTGCCAAATGAACATGTGTAAGTGCTTGAACAGTTTCTCTCAGAAAGATCAGCACAAGGCCGGTTCCCATGAGGCGGAGATTAAAGATGTCCCAGATGTCCAAACTACCATGCCATTCCATCATTTCAGACATTAACTCCTCCTCCTCTTCTCAGTAATCTCTTTCTTAGGGTTCTGTGTTTTGTTGTAACACCACACAGAACTCACAGACACTCAAGGGATTGTCTCATGTAGTGGTAGTGGAGGCTGGGAGGTTGGCAGGCTGGCAAGTCCCAAGTCTGTATGTAGGTCTAGAGGATCCTCCTAATTCTCAGGGTTTGACGAACCTCAATCAGCAGATCAGATGAAGCTGCTGTCCCAAATCTAGGGGTGAAATGACAATGAGCCAAAATGCATAACCGAAGCAAGAGGGAGAGTGAATCTTCCCAGAAGATTTCTGTATATACCCTCAAGGAAGCTAAGGGTGGTGTTTTGAGTTATACCCTCCAGCAAGATTGGACTCAAGATATATCCCACCTATGCTGCTCCAACAAAAATAACCCTAGTGGATGGCTTTAACAGTCAGGAGTTTAAAAGCAGCTACTCAGTTGCTCATGACAAATTCCACCATGGAGCAGAATACCAGTCATTATAGGGAATAACTACTACCAGCTGCCCAGCCAAGTTGACACAAAAGACACAAAACCTTAACTATCATACCACCTTAAATAGGCATGGATAATAGGATTTATAATGTATCACAAAATGGAGGACAATGGCTAGAAGGGCCACATCAAGTAATTCACTACAATAGGGTTAGCAGACAATGTTTCTACATGTGTATTTATATGTGCAGTAAGAATGTCCAGGTCCATAGTAGAGCTGACAAGGGGCAAGGTTGTGGTGGCTTCTTAGCCACATCCAGAAACCCAGAGGGAAAGAGTAGTTGGACCTTTGGGCTCAGGACCACAGTCGCAAGGGACATCAATCTTAATTGGCATAACATACTACACAAAAACATTGTTCTACATCCTATTTTGGGGAGTTGTGACTGGGATCTTAAATGCTTACAAGGAACGATGCGTTTCTCCTTGTCCAGAGCAAACAAGAATGAAGAAAACCAAAGACTCATAGAAACAATTAGTCCAAGGGACTGGTGGACTATGCAATCCTCAGCCTGTATGACCATGAAACCAGAGGGGCTACATGGTGTCCAGCTACCACTGTCAACCACTCAGAGGGGGATCAGTGCAGGAGATTCTGAATAGAGTCGGAGAAAAATGTGGAACAAAACTCAAATCATAAAAAAAAGACCAAGTTTGCTGGTTTGATAGAGCCTAGTAAGACACCTGAAACTATGGCCCTTAGCTACCCTTCAGGTCTGGAACTGAATTCACTCCTGTGGCTTCCAGCCAGACAACAGACAGGCATATGGGGTGAACATTTACATCAGGCAGATACACTACCTGAGCAATCAATTTTGGGACAACAGAAAGGCAGTGTTTTCACAGGGAGACAGCTGTGGGAGAGGGGGCAGGAATGCATGGGAGGAAAGGGAAGCAGTAACTACAGGGAGGAAATAGGGAAAGAGCTGTTACATTGTGGGGAATTGCAGTCAATGTCATGAGACAAAGTGTTCCTCACCTGCTGTATGGAAAATGAATTTGCTTTGTAAACTATCACCTAAACCACAATAAAAAATTTTAAAAATATGGGTAGAGGATATGAACAGACACTTTACCAAGAAGACATTTCGGCAGCTAATAAATACATAAAATGCTCATGATCATTAGCCATTAGAGAGATGCAAATCAAAACAACAATGAGATATCATCCCATCCCAGCATTAACAGCAAAGTGCAAAAAAAAAAAAAAAAAGAAAAGAAAACAATAGATGCTCATGAATCCTGGGTAAAGAGTGGGATAAAAATGTATAAAATTCAAAATCATAAAAAAATGACCAGGCTTACTGGTCTAATAGAGACTGGTGAAACTCTCAAGACTAGGACCCCTAGTCACACTTCAGGATTGGAATTGAACTCACTTCTGTGGCTTCCAGCCAAACAATAGGCCTACATGGTAAACCCTTATACCAGGTAAGTACACTCCTTAGAACAATCAACCATGGGAAATCAGAAGGGCATCATTTGCACAGGGAGCTAGCTCAGAGGGCAAGAATGCATAGGAAAGAAGGACACAGAGAAAAGGTAACCACAGGGAGGAAGTGGGAAGAGAGCTGTTAACACTGTGGGAATTACAATCAATGACATGGAACAAAATGTGTATGAATTGTTTAATGAACAATGAATTTGCTCTTAAATGTTCACCCAAATCACAATAAAATAAAGAAAGGAAGAATACTGGTGAGGGTGGGACTGTAAAATGGTGCAATTTCTGTGTAAAATGGTATGGCACTTCCTTAAAAAGTTGGAAGCAGAAATACTATATGATCCAGTAATCTCACTACTAGGTATATATCCTAGAGAAGTAAGAGCCATGATATGAACAGATGTGCACACCTATGTTTATCATAGCACTGTTCACAATAGCAAAATCATGGAAACAACCTAAATGCCCATCAATGAAGGAATTCATTCAACAAACTATGGTACACACACAATGGAACACAATGTTAAAGAACAATGATGAATCTGCGAAACATCTCATAACATAGATGAACTTAGAGGGCATTATGCTGAGTGAAATCAGTCAATCACAAAAGAACAAACATTATATGAGACCACTATTATAAAGTCAAGAAAAGGGTTTCACAAAAAAAAAAAAAAAAGGAATATTCTTTAATGGTTACCAAGGGTGAGTCAGAGAGAGAGGGTAAACCACCAACAAGAGGGTAGGGACATATTAATTTTGGTGAAGGAAATAAAATAAAGATCTTCACAAAAAGAAAAAAGTATACATGTGATATAATGTGCATAGAAAATGTGCATATGTGTGCGTGTGTGTGTGTGTGCACAGAAAATGCTATGAGTAGAGATACCAAAATTTAGCAGTGCCCTGAAACTACTGTCCTGAGAACATCTTTAAACCTTAAACAAAATATCCCCTGAAGTCGTCTTAAAACCAAACAATAGTATTTGGTTTAACTAGTAAAGAATGTCTGCCTTGAGCATATGCTCCATTAAGATCTATCTATATGGGCTCAAAGTGACAACATCAACTCAAAATATTAGATAGGAAACTTAGAAAGCAGTGAGTTAATGTTAACGGGAGAGAATGACTCAGAAAAGAAGGCTGAGAATGGTTGCAAAATTCAAAAAACATAATCAATGTCACTGAATTATACATGTAGAAACTGAGGAATTAGGATATGTTTTGTTGTGTATATTCTCAACAACAAAATAAATCTTTTTTTTTAACGTGAACAGTGGTTATCTTTTAATGTAGAGCTATTTGTGTTTATTTTCTTCTTTGTATATCTTAATATCCCAAATGCTCTAGAATGAGTCTATAGTACATATATAATTGGGGGAGAGATGAGCAGTGGAAAAGAAAGATGCTTCTTTCCTAAAAGCATAAAACAAGCATTAGACAAGGTCTACTTGCCTTCTTTCTTCCATAGTAGAGCAGTTTAGTGAATTTCTCCACTATCTGTGCAGGTGTCGCCACACTTGGGGGGATCTCCCCAGTGAGCAGGTTCGGGGTCCCTGAGTTCAGCACTGGCCAATCCTCATCCGTCAGGCTGATGAGATTGGCTACGGGAGGCTGCCTCTTGTACTTCTCTAGCTTCTTGCAGTCTTGCATCAGCAGTTCAGCTACATCTGACCCCACCATGGACTGCAAGGCAAAGAGGGTCATCCTAGGGGTAGAATCCTGTTAGTCCTCTTGTTAGCAGCCCAGGCTGGGGAAGCAAGACACCAGAGCACCAGGTGTCCTCAAAAGAAGGCCAGTCATGCAAATACAAACGCAAGGCAGTCCTTTCTTGGATTTACGAATCTCAAAATTCAGCTTCACTATCATGGCTACTTTTACCCTGTCAGGAGCCACAAAGGTTGCCAGAAATTTCATGACTTCATAGGTGTGTTACTTGGCTGGCATAATAACCTGGGTACTAGACGATAATTCCCCATCAGGGAGAGGAGCAACAAAGGAAAGGTTAACATTAGCAAACTGGAATTGACATTTGAGCAATTTCTTCCTCTAGGGCAATTGTTTATTTCTTAACTATTGCATTTATAATCATGCCATAGGCTGACTCCCCAGGAAAAGTTATATTTCAGTCCAGTCTACACCAGCCTACCCTATCAAAACAGTATTTACCCCATTCTGCCGGCAAAGGAGAACCAACAGTTGCCACAGAAGTGCTGAGTCTCTGCTCCTCGTTGTCTCTGATTTGCAGCTCTGAGCTGCTTTCTGCTGGCAAAACATCATGATATCCACCTTGTGTACATCTTCCCTATGGAAGATTTCAGGGAGAAAAGAATTATTAGTGAATTAGGCAGACACTTCCCTGTATAGGACCTCAGTGTTGAGGACTACTGGCTGAGCTGGGATTAAGATAGAAGCCTAACAACCTCGGGCTGGGGTAATAAGTCTGTACAACAGGAACAGACCTCAGAGATCATTTCATACCTCCATTTTAAAGATGAGAAACTGAGGCCCAGAGACCTGAAGTGACTGCATAAGGTGGAAAATAAGAGAGCAGATTTTAGAGTCACACAACCCTGGATTTAAATCTTGTTCTGCCATTTTTCACCTTAACAAGTCACTTATTTCCTGAAAGTCTTATTTTTTTCCCCTTTAAAATGGGGATAATAAAAATCCTTCCTCCACACAAGAGGAATTAGAAAATTCTGTGGCAGATATTAAGTGCTCAGTAGTGCCATAGTGGATAAGGCATTTGGCTACTAACCAGAAGGTCAGCGATTCAAACCCACTAGCCACTCTGCAGAAGGAAGATGGGGCAATCTACTTCCGTAAAGATTTACAGCCTTGGAAACTCAGTTGGGTTGCTATGAGTTAGAAATGACTTGATGGCTGTGGGTTTGGTTTAAGTTTACTATTTGCTCACAACCATTCAATGAAATCAAAGCCAAGTTGGGCCAGTCCCCTAGTGTTCTAGTACTCAACTCAGCAGTCTACCCCACATCTGTATTCCTGCAAAAAATAGAGACAATGACCATTTTAAATTGAAAAGGCTATCAAAATACTATATGAGGATATTTTCATAGAGGGAGCTTCAGAACAATGTTAGATTTATAAAGTATATAAAGCATTTACCTCACTAGAGTCTCACAGCCACCACTTGGAATAGGGAGTGGACATTACATCATTTCTCAGAAGAAAAAGCTGAGGCTCACAGAGACCTAACCAGTCCTGTCCACCATGGACCCACTAGTTAGTAAGATACCTGGGCCTGGGATCCAGGTCCTCAGAATTCCAGCCAGGTCTTTCCACAATAAAAACCCACTGTCGTCAAGTCAATTGACTCAGTATGAGTCAAAGTCACTCATAGTGACCCTGTAAGACAGAGTAGAACTGTGCCATAGGCTTATAGGCTTTCCGAGGATGGAAGCAGACTGCCACATCTTTCTCCCACAGAGCAGCTGATGGATTCAAACCACCAACCTTTCATTTAGCAGCCTAACATCACCAGGGTGTCCTGAATGTATTTCTCAAAAGCATGACTGAGAAATTAAAGTAGTTCTAGCTCAGTCCTGCAGAGGGCAGACTTGGACACTGTTCAGTAACTCCAGCTCTATACTGACCACGTCCTGATCCAAAAAAAGATCCCTGTTGCAAGACTTTTTTCATAATGATCCCCTTGTCTATGATTTCCCAGGCTGTGCTCCGCTTTTCTACTAATACCTATTAATCACATTGAATGCTAAAACTTCCTACCACATAACCTCTGCAAAATGGAATTGATTTTAGATTTTTACATTTTTATGTTAATTTTTCTTTCTGCCCTTCAACTATAGACTCTCTTATCAAAATAGCTCATGCCACATTTGACTGTCTCTTAGCACAGATAATTCTACTCCCATGAAGTAGACACTGTCTTCCAAGAAAGCTGAGAACAAATCCCCCAAATGGTGACCTGGGCAGAAAGGTTTTCTAACTTTTAAGGGCCCTTCCTCAGCAGCTCTTGCGGTAATGCACCTGATCAGGGGTCCTGAGAAAGTTCTCATCTCCTCTTGTTCCTCAGAGTCACCAAGAATAACCTGGAATTTAAAAAAAAAAAAAAAAGCAGATGTGATCTTCAAGACTATGTCCACCAAATGCCCCTTTCAGTCAAGTCCAGCACCAGATCCGAGGGCCATGGTCCTAGGATATGGTCAGTGCCCTGTGAAGAAAGCAGGCAGACCAAACAACAGGCAGACCTGTTGCTGAGGATAAGCCAATACCATTTCAGGAAAAAACACAGCTCTAGCATCACTGCTTCCAGAAAAGTGTCACCCCTACTTCCTGTACCCCCCAACCCAGAAAATGCATGACCCAGTTCCCCACCAAGGTGCACCATTCTTGGAATTGCCTAGGAAAGGACGTATGTTAAGTGTAGTAGGGTGATCAGCATGCTGGCATTCTGGGGGCACAGAATCTTATTTACCTCCATGCTGTGCAGTTCAACAAGGGTCGTTTGCCCATCAGTGGGAGACCTCAGACACACACACACCAGCTGACCTCCTGGTCCAAAACTCACAGGCACATGAGGGCCATAGAACTTCATGGGGGCCTTGGAACCAGCTGCTGAGACATCCTCTAACCAACACAGATGGACACTGTTAGCATTACTGTCACTGCTTCTTTAATTTAGAAACATGCCACAAATATACTTCTGTTCAAATTCCACCTAGAACAAAGATAAGATTCTGGGTAGGGACATAAAGCTAATGCTCCAGGTGAGATTTAAGGCTCTGAGAATATAATACAAGGATTTGATGATTTGGTCCAAATGATAACCCTCCAGGTCGTCTCCTGATGATGGTGAGAGGCCCAGGGGTCTCTGACTCTGGTAGACTCCCTGGCTTTCACAGTCCCTCTACACATGAGAAGTTTTCTATATCCAGACCAAGAAATTGTGCCTCATGTCCTGCCTTTGCTTTACCTAATTTTCTCTGGTCTTCATTTTCTTTATCCAGTACTTAAAACACCTCTTTGTGCCTCCTCCGCAGCCTGATGATGGTTAGGGACACTGTGCCCTTCCAAGAATCAGCTATGATGCAATCGCCAGTACAAGGGAAATGTTAGAAATAGAGCCATTCAGTTGGCCTCTCTAGCAAAGAGACTACAGAAAACAAAGCAGACAATAGCCTGTACTTGGAAACACAGCCTAAGGGTGATTTTCCAAGATACTTGCCACCCAGCCCTTTCCTCATCAGACCTCAGCAAATCCTTTGACTGCTTACGACCCACCAGCCTGAATTGGACTCCACGCTGCTGAAGCCAGAGGATCATGCTGCTCAGAAGCTTCCACCATGTACTGACTGAGCTCATAACCACTGGAGCTGAGACCAGACTCGTGCTGCTGGAGAAGGTTGGACTCACTGGTCAATGATGGCTGAAAAGTAAAAACACATGGGAAGACTCAGAAGCAGTTTCAGAGAACTGGTTCTCATGCATCATCCTTCAAAGACACAAAATTCAAATTTTTAAATAAATGCCGTGAAAATGGGTATGTTGTGATCCATAGGGTTTCTATTGACTGATCTTTGGAAGTAGGTCACCAGGCATTTCTTCCTAGTTTGTCTTAGTGTGGAAGCCCCACTAAAACCTGTTCACCATCACAGCCACACCCAAGCTTCCACTGATAGATGGGTAAAAGCTGTGCATAAGGAGCACTGGCCGGGAATTGAACCCAGATTTCCTGCATGGAGGTGAGAATTCTACCACTGAACTACTAATGCCCTATATATCTCAAGTATTTACTCATGTATTCATTCATTAACTATTGTATGAGCATTAACTATTGTATGAGCACCTATTATGGTGCAGGCACTGTACTTTACCTTAGGGATACTGTAGTATGCAAAAAAATACGGTCCCTGCTCTCATGGAACTTACATTCTAGGAGCATACAAGTAAAACAATGGATCCAAGAGCTCTGTACACTGTGAAGAGCTGTACACATGTGTTGTGGTTGCTTACTGGGTTGTTATCATTACATGTGCCCTGCCCTGTTAAGCACTAGGTATACAGAAGAAACTGCCCTCAAAAATCACAATAATCTAATTATGGAAACAAAATTAACACAAGATTGTCAAAGATTATGAACTCATCTCTGCAGCATCTTAGAAACTTTTCCATAAATCTAAAATTACTCCAAAATAATATGTTTATTAAAAGCTTCATTTTGTGGCCCAGCTGGTACACACAGTAAGAATTTAGAGGAAAGAGACAGAAGAGTCAGGAAGGCTTCACGTCCTGTTTTCTGACCTGAATTAAAAGATTCTAACAACTTCCAGCTTCTTGGATAAAACAATTAGTTCACTAGGGTTTCAGAGAAAGAATCCAAACCCTAACACCTGGTTGTAGCCTCTTCTCCTCTTTTCCAGGAACTCAGAGTGACTTAGTGATATTTTCTGACTAAGTCACTTTGACAAAAATACTGAAGGGAAAGAACAGGGCCCCAGCCCCAAAAGATTAAAGCAGGAAGACAGGGGAAGGGAGAACGTGTGAATGGAGGCTCTGTCAAAAGGAGAGGAATAGCACCCCTCAGCCTGCTGGCCACTGGAGACCCCAGCACCAAGGGCCCTGCCCTGTCACTGCTGACAATGCCAGTTGTGATGTGCTGTCACAGCCCACTGCTCCCATGTCACTTCAGGTTACCTTATTGTTCTGGGCCCCAGGTAGCAAACTCTCCAGAAACACCTCCCCAGGCCTCTCTTGTCCAGAATTAGAAGCAGGACTGTCTCTACAAGGGTTCCGACTCTTAGATCTGCAGCAAAATGACAGGAGTAGGTGAGAGGGAGATCTTGAGCAATGCCCAGAAAGGCTAAGCTGCTCTCTGCTGGAGGCTATTGTGCTTATTAAAAGTGTGAGCAGGTGTCAGGTCGACCTGTATGCATAGGGAAATGCATTTCCCTCTCATTCCCCACTTCAATCTATTCATAGCAAAAAGCAGGAGCACTTGTATTCCATAGAGTAGTCACTGAAGTGACCTCAGACCCTGAAGAGAAGGGCTATCTGTAGCCTTGCATCCTGGAAGGACTTAAATCAGAGCATGGAGATCCATGAGCTCCAGGTAAAGGCACCAGTGGTAAGGTCATTCGGGCATACACTGGATGCAGCAAGAGTCTCCTCTCTGCCCTGTTTATTCCAGGGGGAGCACCCTATTCTCAGAGCATAAGAGTAGACAGAGGAGAAGCAGGCCAGCACCAGGCAGGATCCAATCACTAGAACTTTCGAAAAGCCACATCTGTTCTGAGGCCAACATGGAATTAGGCCTTTCTTTAGGATAATGGTCTCACAGGGACCAAGCCTAGCCCAGGTCCTGGAACTGCCTCTTGGAGATACAAATCTATCCTCCTGGCTCCATGCTAACAGCTAGCACAGGCCATCCTAGTCTAATCCCATAAAGCTGTAGCTAAAACAAAACCAGACTGGCTGTTTAATGAGGCACCAAGCCATAAGATGAATTATGTTGAATTGGCCCCTCCTTTTATACTTACTGGAACTGGGTCTCATGATTTGTTCCAAATGAACTATTCCAAGCTTGATGATGATGTTCATTGAGGTACTTTTGGTCTCGGTAATCTTCATGCCAGGTATAAGGACTTCCTTGCCTTGGAACTGCACCCTCAGAAAAAACAAAATAGGCAGGTTACCTTCTGAAAGTTGAGAAAGACACAGGCAAGTTGTGATGCTGAGTTATTGGAACACAGCTGATATTAAAAAAAAAAAAAAAATAGTGTTGATGAAATTAAATTAAATTGACATTTGAGACCTAAGATGAAAGTCTGTAATTATCCCTCAGGCCTCTCTGAAGCAATTAGCATGCTTCTATTCAGCAGCGTGGAGTCCCTAGCTGGTGTGAATGGTTAAAATGCTTGGCTGTTAACTGAAATGAAAGACTGCAAGTTCATTCCACCCAGAGATGCGTCAAAAGAAAGGCCTGGCAATCTACTTCCAAAAAAAATCAGCCATTGACAATTCTATGGAGCACAGTTCTACTCTGATATACATGGGGTTGCAACTGGTAATGATACTGGTATACAATTACACAGTGGTGAGAATCATGGAGTGTGTGCGTGTTCAACACTGAAACAGATTTCTCTCTTTAGCTGTCTTTTGTTGTTGTTGTTGTTGTTATTTGCCGTCGAGTAGGCCCCGACTCATAGCGACCCCTCCTTGGGTTTCCGAGGCAGTATCACTACGGAAGTAGGATTGCCCAACCTTCCTTCCGAGGAGTGGCTGGTGGGTTTGAACCACCAGCCTTCTGGTTAGCAGTCAAGTGCCTTAGGCACTATGCTACCAGAGCTCCTTTAGCACATTCAAAAACCTTAATACTTACACCAAATGAAAATTCCTATTTGGGTATATCTGCTGCCCAGCCCTCTGAACAATGGGCCACAGCCTGAAATCTGTGCCCAGCGTGGAGTGATGGTCAGACTCATTCCTCTGATGGTTACAGCCCAACAACACAATTGATGCCCTTAAAAACCAAATTCACTGTAACTTGATCAGAGACTATAGTCTAAGCTATAAGGATGAGTAGAAAAAGTGTAGGTGAAGAACAAACTGTCTATGCTACTAGTAACATAATGAGAGTGGTTCCAGTACCACTCAGCCTACCTGTACAAAGGAATATGATTTCTTCCTATCTCTTCTCCTAAAGACACCTAGGAGTAGTGACTTTACCTTGGTCTTATCTGGCCAAGAAGGAAGGAAAAGAGGGCCTCTGCTTTTGCCCATTTGGTTGCCCAAGATGAGGCTCTGAGCATGGCCCCCTTGGTCTCTGCCCTGCCCATCAAACCAGCTCTATCATCTCCAATCCCAAAGGCTTCTTGGAAATTATTCCATACCTCTTTCTTCTGGCAGCCTCTGTGGGTGTCCATGATAGTAATAACCTCCATAAGCGTATTCTTCCCTTAGGGTTGTAGAATGATAGTTCTGATATGGATGCTCATAGTCTGGCCTAAAACATCACAAAGATGGCCAGTCATTTGAAAATGAGTGTGGTAAAGAGAAAAGGTAATGGCAGACTTGACAAACTAAATAAGTGCAGAGGACAGAACTATGATACCCATATAGAATCAGCTTGAAAGCCAAAATTAATTCTAGATCATATAAGCAGAAAATCCAGAATCAGACAGAGCAGGAGGAAAGTCTTTATTATAAAACAAAGGCTTGGATTTTTATGATAAAATCATAACCAAATGTTTTATTCTCTTTTCTTATGTTTCTCTCTTGCTTCAACAATACATACACCAACAATGCAAGGAGAAGACCCTGCTCTGGTGATATCTTAAAAAACTCCTTCATGCGATGATTGTGCAAGTACCCAATTTATCACTGTAATTTCAATGCATATTACAGATGGAAATGAAATTAAAAAATCAAGTTGGACTATCTTAAATCTGATTACATCCATTGCTGCTGTCCTTAACATCTCTTTCTTTGAGAATTCAACTGCCCAAAAGAGATTGGAAAAGGGAAAGTGATGTTGTTAGTATTAGTATCAATTGATAATTTTTTAGAAAAAAAAAATTGATAATTTTTAAAGGGCAAAATGCTTTACCGTAATTATTATTTCTACTCTAAATCTGTAGGCAGGTAAATATCACCCCACCTGGAAAGGCTAAGGTAGAATATTGATGGCTTCCAACATCCCATCAAATACCAAGTCCACTGTAATCACCAGAACTCAGGACAAGGAATTTCAGGTTCTCCAGGTTGGAATTCTCCAACCTGGAGAACCTGGAATTACATCACTGAGAACTTTTGCTTGTGAACTTAGAAGGTTTGGAAGCTGCAAGTTTATATCTACTTTCTCTGAGGTTGATTTAAAAAAAAAAAAAAAAGTTCCCATTCATTCATTCAACACTGGGTCCCATCTGTGTCTCAAATGTCATCAATCTTTCTAAGCCACTCAACACTCCTCTCCCTACTCTGTGATATTGTGATGACTTCCTTAAGAAGCTCTACTAAGGAGATAATTGTTTTCAGTCTCCCAAAAACATTTCAGGAAAGGAAATGGCTTAGCTAAAGCAATGCTCTTTCTTTGTCCCCATCAGTCTAAGCTGATGGGTTTTCTGCTGTTGTAGTTGGTTAGATCCATCAGTCACAGGTTTAATCTATTTAACAAAAGATCCTATAGCCACATCTTTGATGAATATTTTATGACACATCTCCTTAGTTATATAACAGAATTTTCCAAATCTCTAAGTTTTGTTTTCATTTTGCACAGTTAATTTTTAAGTCCATCTCTTTCCCTCACATTTTACTACAAGCAGCAAGGGGAAACCATGGGGCCATTTTAAGACCTGGCTTAGAAATCTCCTCAGTCAAATATCCAAGTTCATCACCTACAAGTTCTCCCTTCCACCAAACATTGGAATGTAATTCAGACAAGTTCTTTGACACTTTAAAAAGCCTCACCTTCCTCCATTGTTCAATCACATGTTCATCATTTCCTTTTAAAGCCTCACCAGAAGTGTTTTTAATGTCCACATTTCTAGGAGCATTCTGTTGCTGGTGCCATATGTGTTCTCTAAAACAATAAAGACTTTCTCAATGGCTTCCTTGCTTCCTTCTGAGCCCTCTATAAAATTGCCCTTTTTGTCCATAATTCTACCAACAGTCTCTTTAAGGCAATCTAGGCTTTTACTATGAGGCACCTTAAAACTCTTTCAGCCTCTACCCATTACCCAAATCTAAAACTACTTCCACATTTTAAGTATCTGTTAGAGAAGCACCCCATTCTTTAGGTACCAAATTCTGTCTTCGTTATCTAGTCCTGCTATAACATAAATACCACTAGTGAATGGCTTTAACAAACAAATTTATTTTCTCACAGTTTGTGAGGCTGGAAGTCCAAACTCAGGGTGCTGACTTTAGGGAAGGACTTTGTCTCTGTGTCTGCACTGGAGGAAGGTCCTTGTCTTCTCCAAGCCTCTGCTCCTGGGTGATCTTCATGTGGCTTGGCACCTCTCTTCCCCCATCTCTGCTTGCTAACTTACATTTAATCCTTTTTATATCTCAAAATAGATTGACTCAAGATGCAGCCTACACTAATCTTGTCTCATTAACACAAAAAAGACAACACATTCCTGAAAGGGATTATAACCACAGGCACAGAGATCAGGATTTACAGCACATGTTTTTGAGGAACACAATCCAATCCATAAAGGTGAAGAAGGAAGAAAAGACAAAGAGGAGAAATAAAAGGAAAAGGAAGAAGGAAAAGAACAATCTGTTCCTAAGCATTTAGGAGAGCTGGGTCCATTTCATGCCTTAAAGCCATACCTTGAATATCTGGGATAACCACCTTCATAATAGTCAACTCCAGACAGAGATTGATGCCATTCCTCTGGCCTGTATGGATGCTGGGGCTGCTGGTGGTCTGCCCTGGGGTCCTGTTGTGGCTGGGGGCTCCCCCGGAGGTCCTGCCACTGGTAGAACCTCTCTCCATTGTGCTGAGAGTGAGGAATAGGCCTATGATATCCATCTCTCCAATGCCCTCGGTCTGGATCCTTTGACGGTGCTATAGGCCTCCCCTGTGACTGAGGCAGATGCTGGGGAACCCAAGGTTCCATCCCTGACCCTCTGAATTTCTCTTGAGTGTTGAGTCAGTTGTGTAGTTATTTTATCTTCCTGAAGACAAAAGACAAACTAAATTAGCATCATTTTTAGCTTATATCTACACATGGTGGTTGATTAGAATTTGTGAAAAGAGGGTCAGCAGTCACAGCTAAGGTCCTCCGAAATATTCTCTCTACAACAAACCATATTGAGTACAGATATAGAGAAATCTGGAAAACAAGCTTGATCCACTAAATGAAATAAGTAACAGGCTAATCAATCATATCAATGTGGCTTAAAAAAGTAAAAGTAAAAGTTTTGAGCAACAATGGATGTGGAGTCATGAGAGATAGGTAACAGCACAAATGCCACTAAAAAATGTGATCAAGGTATCTCAATTCAATAAGTGCTTGTTCATTTATTCTACTAGCAAATATTTATTCAACACTTACTATGGAGGCCTTACAGTATCAAAGAAATAGAGTAGGCCTTGGAAGGAACTAGGTCAGAGTTCAAATCCTAGGCCTGCCATTTATGTGACCAGAGAAGTTAGTTAATTTTTTCAAGCCTCAACTTCCTCACTTGTATAATAAGGACTATTTTTCAGATTTATTCTCAAAATTAGAAATAAGGTATGAAAAGTACCTAACACACTGCCTGATATATAGTCTTTGTTCTTAATCATAGTTAATATTATCCGTATGTGCAAAGCACTGTGGAAGAGTCAGAAAGAAAGATTAGAGTAGCGTGAGTGGCTCAAAACATCTTTTAAACAAAAAGAAGCTGAAATGACCTCTTCAAAGGAAGCCTTTTCTGAATCCTTAAATTAACCTCCTGGAACCAAAAGAAAAAACCAACTACCCTTGGGTCAATCCAACTCATAGCAACCCTACAGGACAGAGCAGAACTCCCCCATAGGGTTTCCAAGGCTGTAAATCTTTTATGGAAACAGATTGCCTCATCTTTCTCCCATGGAGTGGCTGGTGGGTTCAAACCACATACCTTTTGGTTAGCAGCCCAATGCTTTAACCACAGCAGCACCTTAACCTCTTGGAAGAACTAGAACTCCCATAATATGGCCATACCCTGCCCTTCCTCCAAGGGAGCCAATGAGATGCAACTTTGACTGGAGATTTTAAAACCTGTAAAGTCTCCAATCCTCCTCTTTGCCCTGTCCCCCACCCTCATCAAACTAATTCTTCCCTACTTACCCGTCAAAATAAAAAATAGCTCCAAGCCCCTCTGTCCACCTCAGTATCATAGATGAGTACCTGCATCCAGCTGTCTCCAAAGTGGCCTTTCTCCTGCCTAGAGATTCACTTGTATCAGGAGTGTTCACTGCCTCAGTCCACCCTCACCTTTGTCTCCTTTGGGAACTGTTTCAAGTTGCAAAATCAAGATTCTGATTAATCTGGTTCACTTGCTTCCTCTACTAAAACTCTCAGCCCAATATAAAACTTCATATCAGAGCAAAAGGTCAAAAGGGTGTGTGTTGAAACCAAGGAGTCACGTGACTCTAATGCCATGGAGTTAGAGTCCACAACCATGAGCCAAGGACAGTGAGACAGCAGTTCCAGTCCAGAATATACAAGTAGAGCAAGACACAGAGGAACTTAGGCCTTCCTTTCCATGTCAGCTCACTTCCTTGAAAAGCCAGGTGATTGAAAGCTATCTCCAACACAACCCCAGAAAGGTTCAATGTCCCACACAGTGAAAGGGTGTGTGGGTCTCTCCCGAAGGCCCATGGAACTCAATGCCATTTAGACACAAGTAAGAGCAACAGGAGCCTGAGTGGCATAAATGGTTTCCAGTGGTTGGCAGTTTGAACCTACCCAGCTGCTCTGCAGAAGAAAGTTCAGGTGAACTGCTTCCACAAAGACTACAGCCAAAAAAAGCCCTATGAAGCAGTTCTACTTGGCAACTCATTGCTTGACATGAGTCGAAATTAACTCCACAGCAAAGGGTTTGGTTTTGGTTTAAGAGCAACAAGAAGAAAGCCACATTCACCTTGTCCCCAGATATTTCACTAGACAGCCCTTCCACACCTGCACAGGCCAGATACCCAATTTCTTGGCCAAAATCACATTTGTTGCCATGAGCCATCAACTCCATTAAGTTAGACAATTAGGCAAAAGCACTTAAGATTCTCAAAATGGATGGATTATATCTATGATGACAAATCATATTCATATATTCACATACCTGATCTTCTCTTATTCCCAGTAAGGGTAATGTTGTCTTTCCTAATCTGATAGCAAAGCAAACAGAGCTAAAAGAAAGAAAACAAGGGATTCCCACACACCTGCTCTGATGGCTTTCCACCTTCAGTCAGCACAGCTCCAGGGACCTGGCCCAAGAGTACCTCCTTCCCATGTCTCTTGGAAATTGTCAAAGTCCAGGTGCCACATATACCAAGACTTACCTGGCCTTCAAATCTACAGCCAGTGAGTTACCTTTGCAACTGCTCAGCCTCCATGAAGCTGACTCATTGGAGCAAAGTACAGCCCGGCTACCTCCATCAGAGAAAGACCTGAATTGACTTATTTGCTCAGCACCCTGTCTGAAGCTGGTGCTCCTGTTTGCCAGTGGGTGGAGCCAAGTTCGTACACAGGAGAAAGCATCCAAACCCCCACAGCAAACAAGGAAGAGAAACAATTGGGAGAGGAAATCAGAATGCCCTGAGGCAGCCTGGTTCCCTGAGAAGAGCACCACCTTCAGGGTGCTGACCTGCAGATCTACCACTTGCTGCCTCAATGACAAAAGGCAACTTACTTCTGTGTGTTTCTTTTTCTTTAAAATGGGAATAACAATACTTAATTTATGAGGGTTATTATGAAGATTAAATATTGGTAAAGTGGCACATGATAAAATCAAAAGCCAAACTCACTGCTGTCGAGTCAGATCCAACTTATAGCAACCCCTCCTTGGGTTTCTGAGGCAGTATCACTACAGAAGTAGATTGCCCAATCTTCCTTCTGAGGAGTGGCTGGTGGGTTCGAACCACCAGCCAGCCTTCTGGTTAGCAGTCAACATGCCTTAGGCACTATGCCACCAGAGCTCCCGGCACATGATAGATGATCTATAAATAAATAGCATTTTTTTTTTTTCTTTTCAAAAGAGATAAGCTAACTCCACTGATCAGAGCAGGGAAATACTCACTGGTACATAGTAACTATAGGCATACCTCAGAGATACTGTGGGTTTGGTTGACATCACTACAATAAAGCAAATATTGCAATAAAGGAATCACACAATTTTGGGGACTTTCCTGTTGTTGTTGTTATTTGCCGGAAGTAGATTGCCCCATCTTTCTTCCGAGGAGTGGCTGGTGGGTTTGAACCGCCAGCCTTCTGGTTAGCAGTCAAGTGCCTTAGGCACTACGCTACCTTCCAGAGCTCCCAGGGGGATTTCCTAGTGCATATAAATGGAAGGAAGATTGGGCAATCTACTTCCGTAGAAATACTGCCTCGGAAACCCAAGGAGGGGTCCCCTATGCATCGAATCAACTCAACGGCAGTCAGTTTGGTTTTTGTTGAGTGCATATAAAAATCATGTTTACACTATACTGTAGCCTATTAAGTGTGCAATAGCACTATGAAAAAGTCTGAAATATTGTGAGAATTACTAAAAGGTGACAGAAACATGAAATGAGCACATGCTGTTGGAAAAATTACACCAATAGACTTGCTCCATGCAGGATTGCTACAAACCTTCAATTTGTAAAAAGCACAATATCTGAGAAACACAATAAAATTAGGTACACCCGTACCCAGTTTCTCTGGTTTTAGATTTTTCTCATTCATGTTTTTTTCCAAGGAGTTCAGGCTGTATGACCAATTCTTTTATCTATCAGGACAACAAATTTAAATGCCCAATATTGAACTGACCAAACCAAATTAACTGCCATCGAGTTGATTCTAACTCACAGTGACACTCATTGGGTTTCCAAGGCTACAAATCTTTACAGAAGCAGCATCTTTCTTCCACAGAGTGGTTGGTAGGTTTGAAGCACAAACCTTTTGGTTAGCAGCCAAATGCTTTACCCACTACACCACCAGAGCTCCTTATTATTGAACTGGGGGCACCAGAAAGTTTTCTATTATAATAAGAAAGTAATTTCTCAATTTGAAAAATACACTTCTTCAGCATTATCAACATAAACACAGAAGTGCTCATGTCTACTTTTGAATTAATAGTTTAAAATACAGAATTTGCTTTAGAAAGAACCAACAGAGTTTATTCTTTCTTTCAATGAACATAGTTCCTATTATGTGCCAGGATTTGGCACACATATATAGAAAACACATAGTCCTTGTCTTCAAAAAGCTTAAAGCAAAAAAAAAAGCTCATAGTAAATTTATATCTCAAGTTGATACTACTCCAGGGAAAACTAACACTGTTGTGTCTCATGTTCAGGTAAGAAAATATGTTTCTGAATGTGGTAGTTAAGTTTGTGTGTGAACTTGGCTGGGCCTGGTTGACTGGCTGGGCAGCTGGATGTAGTATTCCCCATGATGACACTGGTAATCAACTCTACTGTGAGCAGCTGAGTAGCTACCTTAGGGATCTGGTCTGCTTCCTGTATATAAAGAGAAGCCTTGGGGACTAGATTCTAGCTTATGGCAGCCTTGAACCCTGCATGTAGCTGTGTCATTTTTCAGCAGCCTGCCATGCTCTGCCAACCTTAGGACTTTCAATGGACTTGAATTAATGGCCTGTCATGTGGTTTGGTAACATCAGGACTGTGCTATTTTATTTGTCGACCTTGGGCTGGTTAGCCTCAGCAGCCAGTAGCTGCCTGAGTGGAGATGCCTCTAGCTTCAGTGGGCCAGGAGCAAGAGGCAGAGCTGAAACCCAAGGTCAAGGGGCTTTCACACAGCCCCTAGAGCCTGGCATTAGGTAACCAGAACACTGAGTTACAGGCTTTTTTCTCCAGCCCTTCAACTGACTTCTAGGACCTGACTGTAGAATTCTCTTATCTCACTGATGGGCCATGAAGTTTTACTCACTAATAGCTGAACTGCCTTTTTAATCCTCCTGGGAAGAAGAACTGGAGAAGGTCACAGATGAGA